TCATACTTTGTACATTCCACATTCTGATTATTAATGGATGCTTGCAGCTGTTTCTTCTCATTTTGAGTCGTGCCACATCAGCAAATGAAGGTCCTGAAAACTTGACTCCATCCATGTCATTAAGGTTGACTCTACTCTGAGGAGGCAGCTCTTCTCCAGTCATACTTTGAGTGTCTTCCAACCTGGGGGGCTCATCTTCCAGCACTACATCAAACAATGTTCCACTGCTATTCATAAGGTTTTCACCTGCTAAATCTTTTCAGAAGTAGACTGCCGGGTTCTTCTTCCTACTCTGTCTTAGTCTGGAAGCTCAGCTGAAACTTGTCTGCCAGTGGTGACTCTGCTGGTATCTGAATACCGGTGGCATAGCTTCCAGCATCACTACAACACACAAGCCCCCACAGTACGACAAACTGACAGATACTTGGGAGATGGCCTTATGTTAGTTTGGAAATGAAGAATGAGGATCTGGATCAATGCTTAGGGGCAAAGCACTGTAGAGAGAGACCCACAGCTATGGGAGGTGACAGGGAAAGAAGGGAATAAGAACTGAGTCGGAAGCAGGAATCAGAGCTAGAAATATCAGTAAATATCAGGAAAATGTAACCTAACCTTGGGTTATGTGGGATGAGGGTTCATTTGATTTTATTTAGATTTGGATATTAAAGGCAAAGATAACCATAAAATCTAGGGTGACTCACAGAGTTCTACAAAAAACCTCCACGTTTCCATGCCTTCTGTCTTGTTCTAGTCTGATCCATTCTCCCAAATAATATCCTGAGCCATCCTTCTAAAACACAAATCTGATCATGTTTCTTCCCTGCTTTAAATATTTCAGTGGGTCCTCACAGCTAAATGATAGAGTTTAAAGCCTGTAACACAGTCAACTGGACTGAGCCTCTGCCTACCAAGCCAATCTCATCTCTTGTATTCTTCTCTTACGCTTTATATTTCAGCCATACTGAACATTCAGTTCCTCTGAAACAGGCCATATTCCCTCTCGCCACTCACATTCTCACGTGCTATTTGTCAATAGGAACATTCTTTAATATTCCCTTCCTTCATCCCTTTGAGTCTGTAGCACCTTCACCTGACTATTCCCCTCATTAGGTCCAAGTCTGGGTATCACTTCTTCTGGTAAGTCTTCCCTGACACACTCGGCTTGGGTTGGGCGTCCCTCTTCTGTGCTCAGTACACCCTGAAGTTTTCCTAGTAAAGTACTCATCACTCTGAATTGTTTACTTACTTGTTCATTGTTCATTTTATTCACCAGACTGTAATCTCTGTGGAGGCAAGGACTGAATCCTCCATGCCCAGATCAGTGCTTGGCATAGTGCAGTCAATAAATGATTGACTGACTGTCTGACTGAATAATGGATTAAGAAAATTTCAATTAACTGTGAAAATCTGGAGTCATCTTAAAACTCTAAAAACTCTGGGGATGAGAGGGCTTCTTCAGATATTTCACAGTTCTTATTTGGCTTTTAATCACTGTGAATCTTGGAATTTTGGCAGAAGAATCACTTTGTAACTAGCTCAGAAGACTTGGATGGCAACTAAATACAAAGGCACAAGGAACTCATTGTCATGGGACAAATGAACCATTTTCTCCAGCAGAGAGGAACCTGGGAAGTCCCAGAAGAGCAGACCCAGAGGTTAATACTGGATGGATTTCAATTATGGTTAAAATTAGTAGTGACTGGGACCAGCTAAATGAATATAGTCTCCTTCGTAACACTGTCAATTTTTTAGAAAGCCAGAAGGAGTCCCCTCTCATTCATTCTTTATAGGCCTTTTGCTCTGAAGAATGGACCCTACTCTGACACTGCCTCTCCCTGGAAGACTTCCCTGACCTCTTCTTTCACCTTACCCCTTTGTCTGTCACTTCTGGCTAGGCTGGAGTTCTGTGGAGTTCCTCTGTTCCATGTTCTTTCCACATACATGTTTACATATCCCTTCCTCTCTCAGCTGGGGACTCTTTAGACCAGAGATTGAATCTATTTCATCTGTCTCCCCAGAATCCAGTATGGGATCTGGCACACAGTAAGTATTCTATAAATGTTTGATATCCTGAGACAAAACAACTGGCCTGGATTCTTCAAAATGCCATGTCACATCATAGAAGACAGAAAAGAAGTCTGGAGAACTGTTATAGGAAACAGAGACATGACAATTACATGCAGTGAATGATCCTGGACTGGAACGACTGGATCCTGGATTAGGGGGAAAAAAAACCCCCAGCTATAAACAACATTATTGGGACAATTGGGCTAATTTGAATATGGACTGTATGTTAGCTAGTAGGATTTTGTTAATACTAAATTTCTTAAGTGTGATAATAATATTGTATTAGGAGATACATACAAAAGAATTTAGGGATTAAGGCCCTCATCGGCAGGTAACTCTCAAGTGGATCAGTAAATAAACAAAAATATACATATTTTAAAATATACAGATACAAATATACATACATATACTTAGAGAAAGAGACAAATGTGGTAAAAAGTTAACAAATGGTAAATCTAGATAAAGAGTACATGGTTGCTCATTGTACTATTTTTGCAAATTTTCTGTATGTTTGAAATTTTTCAAAATAAAATGGAAAAAAAAAAACACAACAGTCTCAACTTAGGTAAGGAAACTTAATGGGATATGCAACCTACCTATGCATTTGGTGGAGCCCTGGTGGCACAGTGATTAAGAGCTTGGATGCTAACCAAAAACGCTGGCAGTTCAAATCCACCAGCTGCTCCTTGGAAACCCTATGGGACAGTTCTACTCTACTCTGTCCTAGAGGGTTGCTATGAGTCAGAATCTACTCATTGGGAATGGGTTTGGTTTTGGCATGCTTTTGGTGACTACATGCTATATTGGAAGGACATGATCTGTTGGGTTAAGGCTATAAGTGGTAGGGTAGTGAGGAGACCAAGCTGGAGGGAAGGGAGAGGCTCTCATAAGCCCCCAGATAACAGAAGTGGCACCTATGGCTGTCAGACTAGTAGGCAGTAGGGCAGGAGTGGTGAACACGAGACCCAAAGGGCAAAGCAAAAGACAGCCCTTGTACAGGTCAAGCTCTGTTACAGATCAGAGAAATGCAGCAAATGTTAAATAATAAGGGGGTAAAAAGGATTCGTAGGGAAGGCAGGTAGGTAGGCAGGCAGAGATAACAAGTTAAGGAGCACATGGGAGTTAGACGTCTAGGCAAGGCTCTGGCTTGTCTGGGCACAGCTAAAACATTCATTTCAGGGCAGCAAATAGAAACTAGGATGAGAGCGGCCAAATTGCTAAGCGCCCATTATGAGAAACGGGGCTTAGAGAACACAGGAAGGTGCAGAGAATTAGCTGCATTTGTCTGAAAATGGGGAAAGGTAAGGGTGGCAGCCAGTGGTGAAGGAGGAATCTGATACCCTTGGCCTTTGTCTCTTTCTTAGTTGGTGAGGCAAAAAGGAACAGAATTCCCAGGAAAGGTCATGCCCCAACCCCAAACTACCTTCATGACTGTAGGCCCATGCTGCACATCTCTGCCAGTCTCTGAATGCTGCCACTGGTACATTTCTCTTAGTTCTTAATGACAGCATTCCACTTAAGGATTCTGAGTTCCTATTTCTTTGAGAGCTCTCTCTTCAAAATAGTAGTCACATTCATGGCCATGCTACCCCTCCTTGTGTATCTGTTCTTTCAGAATACCAGGTAGGCCTAACTTCCATTACTGAAGTGCAGAGCAGAGTTTCTAAATGCCAATAGCTGAGATTATTTAACAACCTGCCTTTATCTACAGCAACTCCATCATGCCCAGTCCAGATTCCCAGTGCAACATTCTAAGCAAGCAAGTAAGAATGCCTTTTTCTGTTCTCAGAGATTCTGATGCTGAAAGAAAGCAATCTACAGCAGGTTAGGTGTGAAGTCCTCTCCGAAGAAAACAATGAATGAGGGTATGGCTGCACGCACTAGATGGTCTGATCCCCACAGAAGAGTATTTGAAATTCAGGTATCCTTTTGCCCTGCATACAAGTCACATAAGCAGTGCTTATTTGAGAGCAGAAGTATAGATGGAGGTGGGTAGACTGGGCAAGTAGTCACTTCCCTGAGCACATTCTTTAGAAGTAGCACTTTTACTGGAAGTGATTCTATTAAGACTATGATGAAAAGACAACAAGGAAGGCAGTGTGGGAGCAAAACCTGTGTAGAAGAAAGTCATAAGAGGGGATCTTTCCGATTGGTGCTCCCCCATCAACCGACAGTGCAGCCCCAGTGCTGACGGTACAACCTCTCCATCCCTCTGGCCAGGGGCACAGTCCACAGGACTCTTTAAAAAAGATCCTTCCTCCCTCTCTTAACAATGACCTACCTCACTATGTTTAGTGTCAAGCCTTCCTTGCTGCCCTGTCGTTGTGTGTCCTGGGCTCCAGGTCAGAGATGCCGAGTTCATTCACTCTTTCGAAAGTGCTTAGTCACTGGTCCAGCCACGTGGCACCCAATTTCCCACTGTGGGTCTGATACGTTAACTCAAAAAGTTATTTTCCAGCTTTCCAGTTACAAACAGCAGGAACTTGAATTGACTTGCTCAACTGGCAGTGCTGGAAGATTTAGGGCCATGTGCCAAGGGAAACAGTGGGTGGCCAATCACCAGGGAGCACATTTCTCGATCTGTAGCCTGATACTAAAACTTCCTGCTGGCAAAGGAGGTCTATGCTAGGTCTTTGCTGCCAGATTCACACTTGGAGATGTACTGTGCCTTCACGGTGGTTCCACATGCAGTTTGAAGCACAGAAGGGGAATTGTGAACTACCTCTTTTTAGGGATAAGGATTCGGAGGAATACAAAATCCCAAAGAGAGAGTAAAGATGAGAGGAGATTGAAAAATCCCAGATGTGGCAAAGTAAAGGGACAGAAGACGAGATCTCTGGATAGCAGGTGCCAAGCTAGCAGGTCTAGGCCCCCCTGATGTTGCTGCTCTCCCGGCCCCCCTCTCTCAGCCCAGGCCCCATCCCAGCTCCTACCTGGTAAATACCTGTCGTGGCTGTGGCTGTACTCTGTGGCAGTGAGTGACAAGTGAGTCTGCGTAAAGGGCTGGTTGCCAAACAGATTGTCACTACGAAGGTTGTGGCAGAGCTTCTCCAGGAAGCGGAGGACGTAGGTGATGCTGTTGACTGCTGGGAGGTTGAGGGTGTGCTGCTCCCGGTCAAACACGGCTGTGGAGTTAAGTAAACAGGGCTGAGCACGTCAGCCAGCAGCAGTAGGCAGGAGGAGTCTAGCCCATTGCTTGCCTCATGCTTTACCTCGTTGCACAAAGTCAATCAGTGCCTCAGGTTTCCTCCCTCCCTCCCTCCCTTGAGGGTTTTGATTTTTGTCTTCAACTCCAAAGAGTTCCTGGCTTGTAATAATGGATGCTGTCAGGCCCGGTTTGTTGCACCCTGGGCTCTGGAATGATTTCACCCAACCTGTGAAAACAACTGTGAACATAATTCTGTTTCATCACTTGGCTGGGTCTCGTCCAGGAAATCTATTTAGGATGCTATTTCCACAAGGAGTGCACAAGAACAGAGATGCTGGGCAGAAATGGAGAATACAGTCATTGTCAACAATATTTTGGGTATACAATTTCCAATCTGTATAAAAACCCACTGCCATCGAGTCAATTCCAACTCATAGCGATCCTGTAAGACAGAATAGAACTGCCCCACAGGGTTTCCAAGGCTGTAATCTTTATGGAAGCAGAATGCCACATCTTTCTCCCATGGAGCGGCTGGTGGGTTTGAACCACCAACCTTTCAGTTAGCAGCCATGTGCTTAACCACTGTGCCCCAATCTGTATAAGGGCAGTAGAATTTTGGCAACATTTGGAATGGTTCCATGCTTGGTTTTACTTTACTCCCTATCTATTACTATTAAACAAAGCATCAGAATAATCTATAAAAAGCAAGCATTTGTATATTTTTCTCTGAGGGCAACAAAAAAGTGGGGAGCTAGGTCCCTCTCAGGAATCAACTTTGAGGCAGAAGAAAAACCCTAGAGGGGTGTAGGTGATAGTATCTAAAGAGAGGCAGTAAAGAAGGCCAGGTCCCCACAGACTGTTGCACAGAAAAAAAGGAGAGACCATGGAGTGGCCTGGGCCTTAGAAGGGTCTTAAGGCTTAATTAATTCCCTGTGGTTTTTCAGTCTTCTATGGTAATTTCCTCTCTGGTGTTTTCATCCTACAGGCAGCCTATTACTCCCTATTCTGGGCTACCAAACCACCCTGTACACACTTCTCTATTATAACACTTCTCACAGTTTGCTGTTTATATTCTTCCTTTTCCACCAGGGCAGAGCCCAAGCCTGTTATCTTCTACTCTCCCCTTTTCCCCCAGTGTCTGATGTATAGTAAGTGCTCCATAAATATTTGCTAAAAGAATACAGCTTGGTTATTTATGGGGTCTGCTATGTTGGCTGGCTTTCCTGAGGATGGACACTGCAACTCCGTAGGAAAGATGGGCAGGGGAGTATGGAATAGTGTATAGGTAAGATTGAAAAGCTCTAGGTCAAGTCTTCACAGGTTTGGTGGGTAAAGAATAGGGTTTTGGACTTGGGAAAACTGATACAGAACCAGGGCACAGCAGAAAAAGTGAATATTCTCAGTGAAAACAAAAATACTGCACAGCTGACTCAAATTCTCAAGAAGAAAGAACGAACGAATGACTCTTCCCACTCCGCCTTGGGATTCAACTCCCTTGGATCAGGGCTGGCTTAGGACAGGGAAGCTAAGGAGTCAGCAGAATGAGGGAAGAGTTCATTGGCTCCCTGAAGCCAGGTGGGAGGCTGTGCAGTCTAGAGGAACCCTCCTGCTGCCACAATTGAGCCCCCTCCAGATTCTGTCTTCTGGAATGCCTTCAAGGCAACACTCATGTATTTTCTGTATAGGAGAGTTGAGCAGATAGATAGCACAGGAGTCTATTTAGAGGCTCAGTTAAGCAGAGTCTGTGTGGGTATTCTACTTGGCAGAGGTAATGTATGAGACTCAGAAGGGCCATGGAAGCTGAAGGTGAGGACTCTCTGAGGAATGGAATACCTTCACATTTCTTTAGAGTCTATAGGTGTGAAGTAGGAACCAGATGCCCTGTCAGAAATTAGCCACTTGAGAAGGCCTGTCCCTCTGGCTAGGTGGCTGTACCAGCCCAAGGGTGCTGTCATGGTTTGAATTATGTCCCCCCAAAAATGCATGTGTCAGTTTGGCTGGGCCATGATTCCTGGTATTGTGTGATTTTCCTATATGTTGTAAATCCTGCCTCTATGATGTTAATGATGGCAGTTGTGTTAGTAAGGCAGGACTCAGTCTACAAGACTGGACTGTGTCCTGAGGCAATCTCTTGAGATATAAGAGAGAAGTTAGCAGAGAGACGGGGGACCTCATACCATCAAGAAAGCAGTGCTGGGAGCAGAGCGCATCCTTTGGACTGGGGTCCCTGCACACAGAAGCTCCTAGTTTGGGGGAACACTGAAGAAAAGAAGGCCGACAGAGAGAAAAAGCCTTCCCCTGGAGCTGATGCCCTGAATTTGGACTTTTAGCCTACTTTAACTGTGAGGAAATAAACTTCTCTTCGTTAAAACCATCCACTTGTTGTGTTTCTGTTATAGCAGCACTAGATAACTAAGACAGGTGCTTACCTGAGATAACCTCACCGCCATGGCCCTGTTTGAGAAAGCTGAAGACAGTTTTCTGGTGATAAGCACAGTCGATGCAAGCCTGGACAGCCTGCTGCAACACCACAGAGGCGCGGGCTGGCCCAAAATGGTCAGGGAGCTGCTGGACCTTCTTCTTATCTAAGTGGGGGCCTGTGTTGCCATTCTTGTTCAAGTAAATACAAACTGCAGGAGACAAAGAATCAAAGAAGTTTAAAGAGTCTCTGGGGTAGAGAAGTCAGAGAAAAATGCTCCTTTCTGTCTTTTACACACTGGACTCTTGTCCCTAGCAGGATTCCCAGCTGCTAAGCTGGTAAAATGTGGGGGGTGGAGGGTAATGGCCAAGAAAAGGCTGCCAGCTGCTGCCAGCCGACACTGCATGACCAAAAGCTCTGGAAACACAGCTTGCTGGGAGAACAGCCCAGATCAAAAGCCAAGGCACAGAACATACACTTTGTCTCTTTTGTCACTAAGAAGAAAATCTAAATAATTCCCCACATGTATGTATGTATGTATTCATTTTCTCCACTTGGTTGTCTCACATATTCTTTTTATCTCTCACCTTTTATGTGTAAGCAGCTGTCGGGTCACGGCAATATTAGCGTGTGTGTGTGTGTGGCATTGGATTTAGGATGGCCATACCTCTGGTCACTTGCTTTACTTTCTGTTCTGGGCCTTGGAGTACCTTTGTTATCATCTACATCAATACTCAGGCCCAAAGAAAGTAGCAAAGATAGAAAAAACTGAAATTAAAAACAAAAAAGGAAGGGGTGGATCCTATATATATATTTGCTTGTTTCCGCAGTTTCTCCTGTCAAGACAGTCGGGCACTCTCCTAGTTGTCACCCTCCACCTGACACTGTGGTAGGGTCGGAGGAAGAGTCAGCACAGGAAAAAGAGGCAGTCCTAAACAGCTGTTTCCTCGGTCTCTGGAGGAGACCCACAGCAGCCTGCTTAGCAATGACATTCTCTCCCTGATCTGCCTTGCAGGTTCCCACTTGAGTAGGGGTACTCTTCTTTCTCCTACTGTGTGGCTCACTAACTGAAGGGTAGGAGAGCAGAGTCTCTTTTGCTATTAAAGGTTGAAAAAAGATCAGAGCAGTAGCTGTGTTGGCTGTGGATGGACTGCTGGCCTCCTTGGGCCTCAGGTTTACCTGTGTAAAGCAAGGGGCTGAGCCAGATGCTCTGAGGACTCTTCCGCCTTTATAATTTTAACTCTAAAGGGAAGCAACATGGGGAGAAGAGAAAGGAGAACAGAAAAGGGGGTGAGACATGTGGAAGGGGACAGGAGAAAAAGAAAGGAGGGAAAAAAAGAAAAAGGTGAAGAAGATGAACTGAACACATACATTTAACTGTGTTCTCTCCTGAAATCCACTAAGATGATAGCCAGATAACAAGACAGGTGACAACAACAGGATTTTGGAAGTTGGAAAGTAGGTTGGAAAAGTAACAGCTGACTTGGCAGACCCAAGAAAGCTGAATCTTAAACAGGAATGGGGAATGAAGAGAACCAAACAGTTTCATTTTATAATCCACACAATGCCCAGGAACTGGCAGACTAGGTGCCTCTGGAGGTGGGTGTGAAGGTAGGTCTAATAAATGAAGGACTGGTTGAAGCCTTTTAAGAAATAGCTGGGATTTCCATATGACTCTTTTAAGAAATAGTTAGGATTTCCAATATGACTCTTGCACTGAAAACAACTAAAAATGCAAGAATTCAGTGAGATAAGAAGAGTAATGAAAATAAATGGAAACATACGTCTATGACAAGACACTTAAAAGAATGTTCATATCTGTTTATTCGTAATAGCCTAAAACTAGAATCAACCCAAATATCCATCAACAAGAGACTAGATATGCAAGTTGTGAATTGCACACATACGTTTAACAGAATACCAACTTGGCAATAAACAAGAAAGAACTACTGATAGGCACAACGTGGGTGCTTCTCAAAAACATTATTTTGAGTGAAATAAAATCAGATACAAAACAGCATACATAGGATGATTCCATTTATATTAACTTCAAGAACAAAAAAAAAAAATAATTATGGTGACATAAATCAGAATAAAGGTGAGGAGTAGAGATTGACTATAAGGAGGCATGAGGGAACTTCTTGGTATGATAGAAACATCTTATATCTTGATTGGGGTTGTGGTTGCATGAATGTTTACATTTATTAAACTCACCAAAATTGTACATTGAAGATCTGTTCATTTCACTGTATGTAAATTTTACTTCAATTAAAAAAACACATACACACACACACAAAGGAAAAACATAACTAATCCAATAATAATTAAAAAAAAGAAATTCTACATGGATTAAAGAGTAAAATATAAAAGGCAAAACTATAGAATCTTTAGAAGACTGTGGCAGTTTTAACACATGGCCCCAAAATTCCTTGACACTCCTTTCATCAAGCTCTATGACACCTGACCAATAGACTGTGGCATAAATGACACTATGCCACTTTCTGGGTCCAGGGCTTAAGAAAATGGCAGTTTCCACTTCCTATCACTTGGGACACTTGCTCTAGGAACCAAACTACCATGTATGAAGAAGCACAAGTCACCCTGTGGAAAGGTCCATGTGGAGAGAAACCAACAGCCAGCACCAACTTGTCAGCCATGTAGTGGAAGTGGATCCCCGAGTCCTAGTCAAGCCGCCTCAGCTGTCACTGCAAGGAACGAAGACAAGCTGTCTCTGCCCACCCTGCCCACATTGTTGTCTTAAGCCATGAGGCTTTGTGGTTTGTTACACAGCAAAAGATTATTGCAGCAGATTCTGGTACTGGAAGTAGGGTGCTGTAGTTACAAAAACCTAACACACATGGCATTGGCTCTGGGGCAGAAAGAAGCATAAAGAGCCACAAAAAGAGTGTTAGTGAAAACTGAAGAGGCCTTAGAGTTCTAACAGAAGCTTAAAGGGCCTCAAGGAGGCTGTCAATAAGGACTGAAAGGAAAGTGAGGAAAATCTTATTGAAAGATTGTTAGGTAGTGGCAGAAAATTTGATAACACTAATATGCCTGCAATAACATGGAAAAAAAGGAAATGTACCTGATGAACTCAATGAAATAGCTAAGGAGATATTCGGACAAAGTAATGAAAGTACCAACTGGTTTCTTCTTACTGCCTGTGATAAAACACAAGATGAGAGAGATGACCTAAAAGAAAAAAAAAGGGCCCAGGACTTACGGAGTTCACCAAACTAAGAAAGGGTCTCAGAACCAAGATCAAATCCAAAAGGAGACAACAAAATCTTCTGTCAGATGTCAGAAAGATCAAAGGCTATGTTTCATAGACTCTTTCACACCAAAAGGCCCTCTAAGGACCTTAAGAGTATGCCTCGAAGATTGTCTCCCTTAAATAACAGGAATTCTAAGAATTTTAAGGGCATGATCCCACAGCTGCTGCACAGGAAGCCCAAAGTAGAGAAGGGTTTATCTTTAAGACGTTTGTGGTTGTGGCTTTTGTCTAATAAAGTGAACCCTGATAATATTCATGGAAAACCCCTCAAGTTTCTAAGAGAATCATTCTGGTGAAAGCACTGCCAGGTCAACCAAAAGGGACAGAGACGGTACGAAATGAAAAGAATCCTCTGGATCTCCCAATTTTTATAGGTAGGAAAAAGACTGAGATGATTCAGAGGACAAAATCAAGTGCCATGAAAACAACTCCAAAATAGAATTGGACCTAATTCAGGAGTTGGCAACATGTACCCAGTGGATTTCACAGTTTCTATAGACCAGTGACTGCTGTGTGCCTCCAGTTTTTCTTTTAAAGATATGGTAACTCATTGCCATTGAGGATTCCGACTATAGCAACACTTTAGGACACAACAGAACTGCCCCATAGGGTTTCCAAGGCTGTAAATCTTTATAAAAGCAGACTGCCACATCTTCCTCCCGCAGAGTGGCTGGTAGGTTTGAACCACCGACCTTTTGGTTCGCAGCTGAGTGCTTAACCACTGCACCACCAGGGCTCCTTAAAGATACGGTAGTATCTATAAAAGTTATCCTATGCCTATTCCACCACTGGGTGTGTGTGAAGTAGAAAACTTGTTTCTTTAGTTCACAGGTCTTCAAATCTAGAAGAATCACACTCAAGGAGCTGTTCCTGAGAAACTGCACCTGAGAAACCCCATGTGCTTTGGACCTGATTTAGATGATGAGATCCTGGACCTTGAGCCTGATATTATAAAGGGATGAAACTTCCAGAAATCTTGAGAGGGGAAGAATGAATTTTGCAGATGGAAAATATAAATAATTTATGTGCAGAGAGCAGACTAAGGTTGTATTAAATATGGTTCCACAACTCCTTGACACTCCTCTCAGCAAGAGGTGGGATTTTATTCCTCTCCTCTTGAATCTGGGATCAACAGAATATGGTGGAAATGATGCTATGCTAATTTCTGGGCTCAGGCCTTAAGAAAGTGGTGGCCTCTATTTCATGTCTCTTGGGACATTTGCTCTTGGTACCCAGACACATGCTGTGAGGAAGCCCAAGCTACTCTTTGGAGAGATCCATCTGGAGAAGAACCAATAGACACTGCCAATTTTGCTAGACAATGAATGGGCCATCTTAGAAGTGGATCCTCCAGCCCTAGTAGAGCCACCCTAGCTGATGCCACCTAGAGCAGGGATGAGCTGTCTAAATTTTATTATAGTTAAATATATCAATCTTTTCTCTTATGGTACTGCCTTGTTTAAAAAATCTTTCCCAATCTTGAGGTCACAGAAATATTTTCCTATCCTGTAATGTTTTGGTTTTCTATTGCATCCATGAAATCAGAATTGGATGCTATTAAAAAATCCAGAGAACAACAACAACAAAAATATCAAGCAAAGCCTAATCTCTAAGAGTAGAGAAGTAGAGTACAAGCATTTCCTAAATGTATTTGACCACATTAAAGTCTTTTTACGCAGAGCATTTCGCAGGACTGGTTTTCCACCAAATATGCTTTGGGAAATGCCACCGAAGTTAAAGATAATGATAATAAAAGAAATGAGACAGCAGAAATGAAAAACTCAATAAAAGGTCTAGAAGATATAGTTCAGGAAAGCTTGAAGAAAGTTGAGCAAAAAGATAAAGATATTAGGAGAGAAGGGATAAGAATATTAGAGGGCCATCTCAAGAAGTCCATCATCTGAATAACAGGTGTGCCAGAAAGAGTGAATAGGAGGAAAAAAAAAAAAGGAGACAATCACTGATGAAATAATTTTAGAAAATATCATGAAACTAAAGAATGGAATGGGCCTATCAAGTGTCTAGCATGACAGATGAAAATACTCTCATTCAAGGTGAAATTTCAGAATACTGGGGATGAAGAGAAGATTCAACAAGAATAAACAGGTTTTATACAAGATTAAGGATGTAAATCTAAGAAAGAGGAAGACACATGAAGTTGCACCCTGGGATCTAACAGAAAAGAGAAGTGGAGGGAATCCCAAGTAATTCAGAAGGCTCCAGAAGAGATTTCTTCTCGAGTATGACATGGATAGAATATCTAATGTCCTTGAACATAATGAGAGATATATACAATAGGAAGAGAGTTTAGGTTTGAACTGATAATAAGTACATAGAAAAATAAACAAATAACAAAGAAACCAACATGATAATTATTCCCCTGAAGATAAAATATTGCGCAACAACAACAAAGGAAAAGTAATCATAGTACACTACATGGCTCAATTGAGAAGAGCACTTAAATAGTTATAATAAGAAAAACACTAAATTTTGATCTAACCAAAGTTATAATATCACTGTACGGGGTAAGTATGTGTGAGTGGTGAAGGGGCAAGGAGATTAAGAAGAGTCAAATCCTCATCTACGATAGTGAGCAGTTGCAGAGTTTACATTAACTTTACCTAAAGAATTTGGTCTTTGTCCTTGGTTCCTGAGAGATAATCTCTAAAACCTTGGAATTTCCCCAGTAATCATAAATGTCTTTGATAAGGGTTCCAGGCCACGGTCTAATCTAACAGGTTATGCTAATGAAGTGACTCTTCGGTGGAGGGCTGGCCAGGCCTGAAAGACCCACCATGTGATATCAACCTTGTGATCACCTCACGATAGTGATCCACCTCAGGGAAGAGGGGCTGAAGTTTGCGTTATGTAATGAGGCCCCCAATAAGAGCTCTGGACATGGAAGCTCCATGAGCTTCCTGGTTGGCCAAAGACATCTGTTCTCAAGAGGGTGATGTGCCCTCTTTGGGACATGGAAGCTCCATGTTGGAAATCATCTTAGACCTTATTCTATGTATCTCTTCTTTGTGCTGATCTTGATTTATATCCTTTTATAATAAAGCTGTAATAATAAGTATAGCTCTTTCGATGAGTTCTATTAGTCATTCTAGAGAATTATCGAGCCTGAGGGAGCAGTGGGAGCCAGGAGGTCAGAAGTATGTGTTGGGGTTGGCGACCCCTGAGCTTACAGCCCATGTCCTGAGAGGTAGTAGGAACCTCCAAATTTGTAGCCAGCATGTTAGAAGTGAGGGGTGCCCTTGGGGAGTCCCAAGCTTGTGGCTGGCATTTGAAATCTTGGGCCAACTTGGCAGTCTCCTGGGCTGTGTCCTTTAAGTTGTAAGGTCTGACCTAGCTCTAGGTGTTCAGGGTGCAGAGGTGCTGCATGTGCAACTGGTGTCAGAACAGAAGTGGCAGAGAAGTGAGAGGTGTGATTTATTTGATTTCCCTACAACAGTCAGTAGAAAAATGCCTAAAGCTGAAAAAAATAGCAATATAAACATGTTATTTAGACATATGAGGATAAATAAAAGAATCAACTGAATTGAAAGTGATTGCTTCTGGGGAGCAGTAAGCAGCAGGGGGCCGAAGGGAGTTTGTTTTGTTTTTGTAATAAGTCTTGTAGATCTATTGTTTCTTTAAACTGTAAGTATGTATAACTCTGATAAAAATAAAAATAATTTTATAAAAGTTTCTACAGTTAAAAAAATCAAAGGTAGCTAATAAAGGATACCATGTGGTACATCGGATTAAATTTAAGACAGTTTTTATTGTTAACATTTGAAACGACAATAAAGGTAACTTGGACTAGTAATTCTATCATTGTATAGACGTAGAAACTGAGGCTCAGAGAGGAAAGCAATGTCAAGGTCACACAGCGTGAGCCAGGGCCCAATCAGAAGACAGTGATACAACGATCAGTCAAGACTGCTATAGCCTGGCCAGGAGCCCACAATACAACGGAAGTTCCCACTTTATCTAGGCTATGAAATTCAGGGCAAATGAGGGACGCCAGCCCAGTGACTGCCAGCATCATTTAAAAGGAAAAGTGAGGCATAACCATGAAGCTCCTGCTGTGTGAGTGTTCCTGGTATTGTTGAAAAGGCACCTAAGTGGTATCTAGAATGATGTGTGGTAAATGAAGCAGGTATACAGGCATCTAGGGGCATGTCATGATGTTGGAAAATAATCAATACTTTCACCAAAATGCTCATTTGTCCTTACTTCCTCATCTATGAAGCTCAGGGACAAAGGTCACTATTCATTAATATAATGACACTTTTGGACTAAACAAACCCAGTAACTGGTTGGAGCTAGATGCAGGTAACATATTTGGAGAAATCATGTGATAGGACCCTGACTAGAGCTGGACACACATACTACAGGTAGGCTCTCTTGTCTTCTAAAGGTCATTTAGAGAGGATTCTAAGGCTGGGCCTTCCCTTCAAGCTCTAACATTCTACAATTTGGGCCAAGATACTTGATCCTTTAAGAAAAAGACCACCCTAACTTCCATGGGCATCATCCCAACTGCTTAGACTTCCCTAAAGAAGATGAAGTGTCTGCAGAGTAACTAGAGTAAGGTTTTCACACATGCATCTTAACTTACAGATAAAAAAATGAGTATTTTTCTTTATAGTTACCCCATTGGGAGGTTGTGTATTTATTCTAAGAGGTAGCTCCTACAGAGACTTTCATAAATAGTTTATAAAATGGGAACAGATACACATAACCCAGATTGATTACCCGCCCACCTCAGCCACCAGATTTTGCTTTGAATCAACCATTCATTGGTTCCTCTCCAAAATCAACCACTTTCATAGCACCAAGATTTGCCACAATCATTGATGTTGAAAAAATATCAGAGAAGCCTCAGACATATTTGAGTGCTGGCAACACTACTGAGATAAGCACATGGTCTCTGGAAAGAAGTAAGCACCCCTAACTAAGAAGGATGTGTATTATTACAAACTGGGCCAGAGATTGCCTGGTGCTGGCCTGGCTCCCACCCAGCTCTCGAACCCAGAGTTCACAGAACACCTACCCACATTTCTTTGATTGTTTTGACAGGTTTTGCTGAGGCTATTTCAAATGCCAAAGATACATATGTTTTAAAAGACTCTGCTTAGGTTTATAAATGGACAAGGGGCTAATTACTGGTGTGAGACAAAGAGAACATACAGATGTTGGGGCCTGGGGCTTGCTGCAGCTAGTCTCGTGATCTGCTCTTACCTGTGGGGGCCTGCATGGCAGAGCTGGGGATAGTGGCAGCATCTTGGGGCACAGTGCTGGTATCCGGTTCAGGGGTGCTGGTTGTTGGTGAGGTGGGTGGTGGGTTCAGCAAAGTCCGAGGTTTTCTCTGTCAAAATGGATGGGGAAAAGTTTGCTACCCATGATATGTAACTTGTCTTTTCGTTCCTCTAGTTCTAGGACTTAATTCACCTATGAAACTAAAATATATCTGTAGATAGGACTGTGTTTTATCTTTGTTTTCCACATAGCATCTGGCCCAGTGCTGTGCATACAGTAAACATTTTTTGAATCTATGTACAAGATTCTGGGCTCTGTAGAGCCAGAGCTAACTCACTGACTTTCATACTAGAGTCCATATCATAATATGAAGTTCCAGACTCTTTACTGGTTGGATGGATAAAAGCAAAAAGGATAAAAAAGGAAAAAAAGGATTGTTGTGGCTTAAATCTACTTTGTTATTACTTTGTACTTTATTTCTCTCTCTATATAAGTAGAAACAGCCCCTCCCCTAACTCTAAATTATTTTCCCCTGCCTACCTGTTCAGCTCATTATCTGCCATTCTTATCTTAGACTTTATACTCCAGCAATATCTAATTGCATTACTTCTCTAAAAACCATGCAGTTTTACCTGGTCTATACCTTTACGACAAATAAACTGTCCCTTCTGCCTAGAATGCCCTTTCCGCCTTTTATAACCTTAAAAATTTCTGCTCATCCAGGGAGTTTTTACAGACATCCCCAATTAATTACTGTCTCTTTTATGCTACCTCTGCACTTCGTATTGCTGCATTTATCACAATGTACTGTCATTATATATTTACATACTGGTGTCCCCTATTAGCCTGGAGCCCCTTAGGGGTTTGATTCTGAATACCATGCTTAGCATGGTATTTGGAATACAGTAGGCATCAATAAATGTTTTTTCAATGAAGACAGTGTAAATCACCAATAATGGGAGAAGTAATAAAGACAATTTAAGAGAAATCTAGTATCTCCTCTATCCTATTCAGGGCAGTCCCCAGGGGACAGTATATAAGATATCGGAAGGTTCTTTCCAAGAAGAAGTTTTTAAAAAAGCCTTTCTGAATGCAGGGAAAACACAGCCATCACCAAGATCCAGAAATCTCTTTTTTACAAAATGGCCTATGTAGGGTTCACTGCTGAGAGCTATACAAACCAATCTGCCTTGTAGGAGTGTATTACGTAAAGAGATAGCACTGAGGAAAGCAGACATACATAAGGATGGTTTTGCTTGTAAAAGCAATCATGCAAACCCTCATGAAACATTACAAGCACACATGGTACATGTTTTTTGATACTGGTAAAAGTAAAATCCAAGTAAGTAATGAGTGAGGGAAGAAGGGAAATAGCAGAGCAACTTCACCAAGTTGGTGGTAGAATTTCATGGGCTCCCTAAAGAAAGAAGCTGGTGAATTAGATGCCCAAAATTTGTAGAAGAAAGCAGAAAATGGAAGGCATTATTCCTACTTGAGATGCAATTTTTTTACATGTATTTAGATGTATCTACTCCCATATCATCTCATCTCCATTTTACAGATGAGAAAACTGGGACCCAGAGTCTTACCCAAAGAAATAACTCCAAAGTCACACAACTGTAAAAAATGAAGATAAGATTTAAACCTAAGAAAGATTAGTCCAAAGGACTAATGGACCAGAACTACCATGGCCTCCACCAGACTGAGTCCAGTACAACTACATGGTGCCTGGCTACCACCACTGACTGCTCTGACAGGGATCACAATAGAGGGTCTCAGACAGAGCTGGAGAAAAATGCAGAACAAAATTCTAACTCACAAAAAAAAGACCTGACTTACTGGCCTGATAGAGACTGGAGAAACTCCAAGAGTATGGCCCCTGGACACCATTTTGGCTCAGTAATGAAGTCACTCCTGAGGTTTACCCTTCATCCAAAGATTAGACAGGCCCATAAAACAAAACGAGACTAAAGGGGCACACCAGCCCAGGGGAGGGAGCAGAAGGCAGGAGGGGACAGGAAAGCTGGTAATAGGGGACCCAAGGTCAAGAAGGGAGAGTGCTGACATATTGTGGGGTTGGTAACAAATGTCACAAACCAATATGTGTACTAATTGTTTAATGAGAAGCTAGTTTGTTCTGTAAACCTTCGTCTAAAGTACAATAAAAACAAAACAAAAACAAAAAGCCTGTCAATCTGTTGAGGGCAGTGGGTCTTAAAAAAAAAAAAAAAGATTTAAACCTAAGTGTTTCTGGCCTCAAAGCCTAATCTCTAGCCATAAGACCACTTCTCTTTTGAAAGGAATATAAAGCTCATGGGTGAAGTGGAAGACACATACACTTGTAGGGGAAAGCAATAGGAAGGTATAGGGAGGGGAATTAGGGAGTCAAATGCTATGACATAAAATACAGGGTAAGGTGAATATTATTGTTATCAAGAGGGCTGGAAAGGAAGAGGACTTTGGCTACAATGTTTGGGACTGCCTGAGGGAGCAGAGCAGAGGCAATCAAAGAATCATAACTCTTGGGTTTTGAAGGATCTTAAAGGCCACTTAAATGGACTAAAGCAAAAGCTAAGAAGTTTCCTGAACACAACCAAACACTTGGAGGGACAGAGTAGCTGGGACTGGGGGTCTACGGACCATGGTTTCGGGGGATATCTAGGTCAATTGGTAAAACAAAGTTTATTAAGAAAATATTCTGCATCCCACTTTGGTGAGTGGTGTCTGGGGTCTTAAAAGCTTGCAAGTGGCCATTTAAAATGCATCAATTGGTCCCAACCTACTCGGAGCAAAGGAGAATGAAGAACACCAAAGACACAAGGAAAATATTAGCCCAAGAGACAAAAGGCCCACATAAACCAGAGTCTCCATCAGCCTGAGACCAGAAGAACTAGATGGTACCCAGCTACTATCAATGACTGTCCTGACAGGGAACACAACAGAGAGTCCCTGATGGAGTGGGAGAAAAGTATGGAGCAGAACTCAAATTCATGTAATAAAGCCAGACTGAATGGTCTGACTGAGAATGGAGGAACCTCAGAAGACACGGCCTCCAGACACTCTGTTAACCCAGAACTAAAACCATTCCCAAAGCCCACTCTTCAGACAAAGACTGGACTATAAGACATAAAATAATACTCGTGAAGAGTGTGCTTCTTAGTTCAAGCAGATACACGAGACCAAATGGGCGGCTCTTGTCCGGAGGCAGGATGAGAAGGCAGGAAGGGACACAAACTGGTTGAATGGACACAAGAAACCCAGTGTGGAAAGGGGGAGTGTGCTGTCACATTATAGGGGCTGCAACTAATGTGACATAAGAATATGTGTATAAATTTTTGTATGAGAAATTAACTTGAGCTGTAAACTTTCACCTAAGCACAATTAAAAAAAAAAAAAAGCCATTTAATCCAACTCTCTCTCTAATCCTTCCATTTTCTTCTCCCTGTAAACATCCCTTGCATATATTCATCCAGTCCCTGATGAAATACCTATAGTGATAAGGGCTCACTACTTCCATTATTGGATAGATTTAACTGTTCCTTTTATGTTAAGACAAAACCTGTATGTTTGAATTTCTGCTTATTGGTCTGGTTCTGTCTTTGGAGTCCCACAAACAAGTTAGCTCCTGACTGTCCTCAAGATGTTCTTATATCTCCAGAGCATGGCTTCTCTGGACCCAGCATCCTCAGGACCTTTAGCATCTCCTCTACAACATGAGAGTGAAAGGAGAATAATGGAGACTAAAATGAAACAGGACCTGAGTTAGGAGTCAGTGGTAATGGATCAGGAGGACATTATGTGTTATACAGGAAGATCAGGATGTGACATCAAGAATTCAAAGCCAATAAATAAGAGACAACTGAGATTGGTAACATCATCACTACAATCATCCATCTGTCCATCTGTCCGTCCGTCTTCCATCCACTCATCCATCCATCCATTCATCCATCCATCTTACATTTACTGAACATCTCCAAAGAGATTGAGATGCAAGGCACTGTAAGAGAAAGCGAGAAGAAAGATTAGGTTCTTAACCTTGAGGAGCTTATACTCCAGAAGGACTAAAGTCAGCTGGAGCTGCTAAACAACCAACCAACCAAACAAGCAAACAACCTAGGGAAGAATTTATGAGACTGTGGAATGGAATGCTCAGGAAGAAGTGGGTATCATTTTCACATTGGAACTCAGGTAGTTCAGGAGGGAGATTCAGAGGGATCCCCTGACAGTCAGGAAGTAAGCTGTGAAGGTGATGCCAAAGGAGGCCCCAGAGAAGCAGCTGAAGAACCTTCTCTCCACATCAATGGTTTCCCTAGGGAAGATACAAATGAAGAATTGGCCTGAAGAACTGCCATAACTAAGAGGAAATGGAAACTGGTACTTTCAGTGACAGTGCTCAGTGAAGCCTGACTCAGCAATCTTGTGCTAAGTTAGAGGTAAGTGTTATCTCCCTCAGGAAATGTGAGACAGGGAATATGTGATAGGGCAGTAGTGACCATGGAAATAGAAGATCTAGGGATACATTTCTGCAGCCTTTGCCATTTATTAGCTATGTGATCTTAGGAAAGTAATTTCACATCCCTAAGTCTCAGATTACTTAACTATAAAATAAGGTTAAAACTACTTATCTCCTAGGGTTTTGTAAAGATCATGTGTGCTATGTATGCAGTGGTGTCTAACACAAAGCCTGCTACCTAGTAGGTATTCAATACACAAACACACACACATACATATTTTAAAGAGGGAGCAGAGGTAGAAAAAGAAATGCATTTACAGTCAATTTGCCCTCTCTCTTCACATGCCTGAGCATCTACTCTGGGAAGGTTAACATGGAGCATGCCCTCCATCTATGGAAGAAGTTAGATGAGAATCCCCTCATGTGAATGCCACATTGTTACACAAATAACGTGCGCCTTCTATGTTGGTTTGCCAACCGTGCCTTTCCCCTGCGAAGTATTTTCATAAGCGCTGCTATGCTAATTTTTTTTACATGTTACAGCAACACTCTACTTATTCTACAGTAACATGTAAAAAAAAAAATGGCATACCAGCACTTATGAAAATACCTTATGGGGGAAGGGTGCGGTTGGCAAACAAATGTAGAAGGCGCATGTTATTTGCATAAAAATACAGTAACTTACGAAGTCGAAATTTGTTTCTTATCCCCATCATCCTATCTCTAATATTATCAACTCCCAGGTAAGTAGGGATGACGATCTAGGAGATTTGTTTTAAAAGCATACACAAGGTGGAGAATAGGATCAGATATGCCCCTTTCCAAGATGGATGAATGTGGATGAGTTATCCTATTATAACCTCTTATCCCTTTCTGTATGAACCCAAATTTTTACCTACCTTACTGCCAGGTTTGGGACCCCTCTTCTTTGGGAATTTCAAAGGTTCAGCTGACTTAGATGGGGTAGAGATGGGATGGGGAATTAGGGTCTTGGGTGTCCGGCCCCGTTTCTTTCCTGGTTTACGCCCCTTCTGCCCTGGTTGATGCTCCAAGATAGTTTTGGTGCTGCTATGGATGCTGGGCTTCTCAGTGTTCACATCAGATGCAGGATAGGGATTCTTTGGAATCACAACTGCAAGAAAAAGATTCATTCTATTACCCTCTCCTCCCACCTGCATTCCCATCCCAGTCAGAAGAAAAAAGGACTTGCTACTTCCACTTGGATAGTAGAAGCTAGTTTCCTGACATTTGACCCAAATGTTTGATTAATCTCAGAAGAGAATTAAAATTAGACTGGCTAGAATTAAAGATTTTTAATTATTTCTGGCAGATAAGGGAGGAAAAAAAAGCACTAATTTTTTTTCTCCCCAAGTCATCTTAGAGAAGCATTATGACCTAAATCAAGTTGAAGCATATAAACAAAACCATAGGCTGGCTTAAAGTTGGAACGTCTCTTAGAATCCTTTCCTGCTAGAATGAAAATGGGAAGCTCAGAAGAGGAAGTGATGCATTCCCTAGGTTACGGTGAGTTGAGATAAAGACTAAAGTTTTGAAACTGGGCTCTAATACTAAGCCAGGGATTTTCTACATCAATCTTCTTGAGGTTTTAGTGTGATTACTGCAGTGAGGAGTACTGCAACACATGGAAGTATAAATCTGATAGCATCTCTCCTTACCTTAAAAATCTTTGCTCCCTATTAACTTTAACGTAACATCCAAATTCTTTATGCTGATATCCAAGGACTTTTGTGAATCTCTAGTTATGTCATTCCCTGTCATCTACCCCTACATTCTAGCCCACTGTTTTCTGAACACCATTCCTTCACATATGCTAAGCTCTCTATTATTCTCAATCAGATATACCAATACTCATTTTCAAAACTCAGCTCAAGGGACACCTCCTTATTGAGGCCTTCTCTGACCAGTACCCAACCAAGTCAGTGCCCCCATCTCCAAAGCACTATGTAGACAACTCTGTTAAAGCACTTTTCAGTTTTACTCCAATTATTTGTCTCCTCCTTAAGTTGAGTATTATTTGAGGTAAGGAACAGCTAATTCATTCCACAAATAGTTATTGAGCACTGTTCTAAGCCCTGGGGATAGAAGAGTGAACAAAACAGTTTGCACTCTCATCTCACTTCCTGGTGGGGGGGCGGGGAGGAGGTGAGCAGAAAATAAATAAATATATAATATAATGTCATATAATGGTAAGTGCTATAATTAAAACTAAAGCAAAGTAAGGAGAGAGAGTAAGAGTGATAAGGAAAGTTCTCTGTAAGGAGGTGACATTTGCACTGAGTCCCCAAATGAGGAAAAGGTACAAGTCTTATGAAGATCTGAGAGAAAAGCCTTCCAAGTAGAGGGTATAACAAGTGCAAAGATTCCGAGATGGTAAGTATGACTGGAATTGAGTGAGCAAAGGGTAGAGTGGAGGGAAATTAGGCTAGAAAAGGAGTAGCAGTAAGACCACATAGGCTGTGAAAATCAATTTGAACTTATTCTAAGTATGAAGGGAAGTCACTGGAGGTCTTTGTGCAGGAGAGTGACAGGATGTACTTAAAAGAAACATTCTGGTTGCTCTGTGAGGGGAGTAAGAGTAGAATTAGGGAGATTAGTTAATAAACTATTGCAGTGGTTAGGTAGAAGATAACAAGGAACCTTGATGCTTCCAGGTTGGATATAATATATTGCGGCAGTGAAAAGTTGCTGATGCAACAACAGAAAAACCAAGTATATTATTTTAAAACACACTGTAGAGCTGTAGAAATCATGAGGATTAGAGGAACTGAAAATTCCAGACATGGGGGAGCCCTTCTGAGGTAGCTGACATTGTTTTCTTTCCTGAGAGCATTTGCTAATTTTGGGCATGAACTGAAGATTAGGCTTGGCTCATGCAGAGGAGCTTTACTAGTGGAAAGAGAAACAAGAAAGGCTTCTGTGACAGACTGGAAACTGGAGGACCCCACATGTGTGGTCCATTTTTCCCATGGGATATTTGCTGAGTTCTGAGCCTGTACATGGAAGCAGAAAAGCTAGGCTAAGAGCTTCTAAAAGAGAGAATGAAATCTCCCATAATCTTGCAGTTTTAGGAGACAAGATCCCACTAGAAGGGGGAGCCTACCTCAAACACATAGCTGATCTCCTCTTTAAGATATATGCTATATTTTGAAACTGTAGGGAGTGAGAAGTGAAATAATTAAGCCCTCAAAGCTTTCAAGGACAGAACAATTTGTTACAGTTTTTCAGGGCTGAGGAGACAGAGACCTGTTAGTTTCTCAATCTAAGCACAAGAGGGCCCAGGTCCAAAGAAAAAGGATAAACCAGAGGCACAATCCAGCTCTGGTCTAGCTCAATCCGTGATTAGCTTCAGGAGATCAGGCCTTTAACCTATTATCCTTACAGGAGAAATAAAGAATTCTTTCTGATGGAAGATATAAGCTGGAGCCTTGACAGTTCATTTCTATAAAATGTCCAGCATATAATAAAAAATTATTAGATACAAAAAGGAGCAGAACAATGTAATTGGTAATCAGGAGAAAAATACAAGCAACAGAAGGAGATCCATATATGATCCAGATAATGGAACAAACACATAGACTTTAAAATACCATTATTAATATGTTAAATAAAATACAAAAAATGAACAAAATATGAGAAAAGATAAATAATACAGAAAATCTGAATCTATAAAAAAATTAAATGGACATCCTAGAAATAAAAAATACAATATTAGAAATTAAGTACTCATTGGATGAGTTTAAGGGCAGATAAGATTCAGCAAAAGACAGAATAGATAATCTTGAAGAAAGATCAATGCAAAACATACAAAATGAAGCATAGTGAGAAAACAAAAACGGAAAAAAATTAGAGCATTAGAGACATATGAGTCATAGTAGATCTAAAATATGAGTAACAGCAATCCCAGAGAGAGAAGACAGACGAGGTAGAAGAACTACCTAAAGAGGTAATGGTTGAGATTTTCCCAAGACCAATGAAAGACATCAACCCACAGATTCAAGGAGCTCAGCAATCCACAAGCAGAAAAAATACGAAGAAAACCACACTAAGATACATTATCGTCAAAGTGCTGAAAATAAAAGATAAAATACAACTGAAATGAATAAGAGAGAAGAAAGACAAAGGGAAATTCTTAAAAGCACTATATTAAAAGAGAAAAAAGAAGCATTACTCTTATGTTGTTTTTATTAGGTGCCATCGAGTCGGTTCCGACTCAGTGACCCTCTGTACAACAGAACGAAACACTGCCTGGTCCTGCACCATCCTCACAATAATTGCTATGTTTGAGCCCATTGTTGCAGCCACTCTGTCAATGAACCTCATTGAAGGTCTTCCTCTTTTTCACTGACTCTCTACCTTACCAAGCATGATGTCCTTTTCCAGGGACTGGTCCCTCCTGATAACATGTCCAAAGTACATGAGACATAGTCTTGCCATCCTCGCTTCCAAGGAGCACTCTGGCTGTACTTCTTCCAAGACAGACTTGTTCATTCTTCTGGCAGTCCATTGTATATTCAATATTCTTTGTCAACATCATAATTCAAAGGCATCAATTCTTCTTTGGTCTTTCTTCTTCATTGTCCAGCTTTCACATGCATCTGAGGTGACTGAAAATATCATGGCTTGGGTCAGGCTCACCTTAGTTTCTAAAAGTGACATCTTTGCTTTTCAACACTTTAGAGAAGTCTTTTGCAGCAGATACGCCCAATGCAATATGTTGTTTTATTTCTTGACTGTTGCTTCCACGGGCATTGATTGTGGATCCAAGAAAAATGAAATCCTTGACAACTCAATATTTTCTTTGATTATCATGATGTTGCTTACTGGTCCAGTTGGCCAATAACATAGGAACAACAATAAGACTGATAGGTGACTTTTCAACAGAAACTATGGAAGCTAAAGTAATAGAATGGCTTATTAAAAGTGCTGAAAGAATTAAACTGCCAACCTAGAGTTTTATACCCAGTGAAAGTATCCTTCAAAAATAAAGATGAATATAATGATATTTTCAGGCAAATCAAAGCTGATAGAATTAGTCACCAGTAGATCTAAACTACAGGAAATAAAAAGGAAGTTCTTTGGACTGAAGGAAAATGATCCCAGATGGAGGCATGGAACTGCAAGAAGGAATGAAGAGCAGAAGATACAGTAACAGTAAACACATAAGTAGATACAAAAGAATATTCACTATATGGAAGTAGGGGGGTGGGTAAATGGAGCCAAATTTTGATAAGGATTTTGCATTATTTAAGAAGTGGTTGCAGTGCTTATTTAAAGTAGACTTTGATAAATCAAGGATGCACAGGGTAGCCAATTAAAGAATTATACTAAGAAGAGGATAAAAATGGAATAATAAAATATACTTGATTAATCCAAAAGAAGGCAAGGAAGTAACAATAAAGAAATAAGGAACAACTCAGCCAAATAGAAAACAAAAAAGTAAAATGCAAAATGGAAGACTTAACCCCAAATAAATAAACAATTACATTAAACATAAGTGGATTAAGTAAATCAATTAATAGGAAAAAATTAATACTGGACCAAAAACCCAACAACACAAAAACCAATTATGTTTTGTTGAAAAGAGAGCCTTAAAATTTAAGTACAACTGAAATATAAAGACACAGGATGGAAGAATGGAAAATATATGCCCTGTAAACATTAACCAAAAGGAAGTTGGTATGGCTCTATTAATATCAGATAGACTAGTCTAGGTGCTAGAAATGTATAAAATGTATAGAAAAAACAGACAAACAAAAAAAAGACAAGATAATAGTGAACTGGAATCTCAGAATAGTGGAGAAGATGAGAAGTTGTTGGATTCAGAATACATGTCGAAGAAACAGCTAACATGATTGGAGGTCAGTGAACAAAAAATTAGCAAACAGAAAACATTAAATTATATTCAATGCAGTATGAAAGAGAACAGTCAAAGATGATCCAACATTATTGGCTTGAGCAACTGGGAGAACAATGATGCCATTTATTGGGATGGAAAATCCTGCAAAAGGAAATCAAGAGTTCAGTTTTAAAACATGTTTATTATGAGATGCTTTTTTTTTTTTTTTTT